TCCTCCTCTTCTTGGGACCCGTAGGGATGGGGACTCCTCCTCCCTGCTCCTGTCTGATGAATTCTGGCCTGCAGGGTAATCCCTTCCAGACATGGAATGGCTTTCCTCTGCTTTTTCACAGATCTTAATCTGCTCACATGTGGCATGTGGGGCTGGAATGTGTATCACCTTGGAGAAAGCAGGCACCACAGGGCTTTCCTCCTCTTCTGTTTTTAAATAGATAACATTTATTGGCTGCCTATGATATGCCAGATACTCTGTTAGGTACTTTTCTGGGGATTGTCTCGTTTAATCCTTACATGAAGATATGAGGATTGCATTCTTCTATTTCACATGTCACGGCCATGTTGATGTGGGAGCAGGCAGTGCATGGAGACCTGTGGATGCTTCCTGAGTCTGATGGAGGCCAACCAGGGGACCTGAAGTTTTACTTGTGAAGAAGGACAGCTGTCCAGGGTAGGTTCAGGTGTCAGGATGGTGGATTCTTAGAGTGTTACTTGTGTGAAATATCTTTAAATTTTTTTAAAAAAATTGAGTCAGTTTCATGTAGACCAGGTTGGCCTCAAAGTCATTATATAGTCAAGGATGACCTTGAACTTCTGATCATCCTGCTTATACCTCCAGTGTACTGAGATTATAGGTGTGTGCCACAGTGCCTGGTGTATACTGTGCTAAGGATTCAACCTGGGGCTTTGTGAATGGCAGACAAACACTCCTATCAACTGAGCTACATCTCCAGTCCTGTTTTGTGAAATACCTGCGAAGTGATATAATATCAGTCATAGAGAACACAGAGCTGTCAGTCACAAACTGGGATTCATAGACTGATGTTCCAACTCTGATAAATGCTTCTTTATGGCTCTTTGAGGTAGGTCACTTGCATTCTCTGCATCTTATCTGTTTAGTTACAAGAATCTAGATTGCTAATATTGCTAACTTGTCCTGAGCACCAAATACTAAAGGCTTTTTACATGTATTAACTCATTTCACCCCATGATAACCAAAGGAGGTAGGCTTTAATTATTGCCTCTTTTATATGAGAAGAGACAAGACTTTACAGCTAGGAAAATATAAAGCCAGGAGTCTGTCCCCTACAGCGGGAGGCACAACCCCCTCTGTTTAGTCCTGTTGCTCAGTACAGTAGAATTGTTAGCAGAGTCTCAGACCAAGTTCGTTGAAGTGACTGGTAGACGTGGCCTGTGGTTATCAAATGAATTTCAGGTTCTGTGTCTCAGCCTTAAAAGGAACCTTGAAGACTAGATTAGAAAATCGTGTTCTTCACCTTTGCTCAAATAGTTGGCTTCCTAATGGAATTTTGCCCAGCCGGTTAGAAAGAAAGGAAGACAGAACTTAAAGATCTTGGACTAAACAAAGATCATGGTTTATCCAAATAATATATCAATAGGTATGAGAGACCCAGAAAAATATAGAATATTTTGCTCCTGGGTCAAATTCAAGGCAAAGTGAGCCCTGAATTTGAACTTAGCTAAGTTTCTCCTGACTGCAAAGCCAGCATCTTTCACTATCTTACTTCTCTGGCCTGGAAGACACCAGAAGGGCAGTGAGATACAGAGTCCTTGGCAGTAGATGAGTTTGAGTTTTATACTGACACTGACTTTTTTTTCTTTTTCCCTTTTTTTTTTTGCGACAGGAGCTCATGTATTCCAGGTTGACCTCAAACTTGCTATGTAGTCGAGCATAACTTTGAACTCCTAATCTTCCTGCCTCCACTTCCTGAGTGGTAGGATAACAGGCATGTGCCACCATGTCCTTATGTGTTGCTAGGGCTCAAACCCAGGGCTTTGTGCATGATAGACAAACCCTCTACCAACTGAACTCCACACCCAGCCCTGTAGTTGTCTTTGTATTCTGTCTCTGCCCGGGGCTGAGTGTGGGCAATTGAAGGGGAGTAAGCAGAAGGAGATGAAGAAGGGAGAGTATATTACTTTTTCAGGACCTGCTGTTACATGAAGCAAGGAGGGGTTACCTGTTAGTCTGAACACAGTAACAGTGCTTAGAATATATAACAAAAGTTCATGTAAAACTTCCTTTTTCTGACTTTATTATCCTTCTATCTTTTGAAACTTTGTAGCATGTGCATATTATAAAAGTAAACTTTCTTTAATAACCTAAAAATAGTATATTATAGTATTTTTTTTTTTTTTTGTTTCTGGGGTGTTGTCTTTCTTTGGAACCCTGCAGAGCCTTCCTTGGGCCTTGATTTTCTTAGCATAGATACAATGTAAATATTTTCTTTAATTGCATAAGTGTGGAATGATAAAGGCTTGTGATCTGCTTGCTTTTAGCTAACAAAGCTACAATTAAGTAGACAGTGTTTATAGCAGCTGGTTTCATTGAACTTGGAGACTTTCCAGATGAAGTGTCCTGCTGACTGTCTGTAGAGCACCTATTAGGTGCTCATTAAAGTTAATGATTAACCTGTGCAGTCAGATATCTACTCTATAGGTATTTGATTACTTGCCTGGTGGTGTGTGCTGTGCCAGGAGCCCTTAGAAACACTAGAAATACTGTTTGACTAAATATCTGGACACCCAGTAACCCAATTGAGTTGACATATAAAATTAACCATCATACCTGGTTTAGCAGAGTATGCTGACCTGGAAGGAAATAATGAAGGTCACTATTAGCCTACTGTATCTCAAAGAAAGAGCTCTTAGAGATCCATTTACAGATATAGGGAATGAAAGAGAGTCAGGACTGTAGCATTGAAAGTGACCCCAAAGAGTCAGTTAAGCCATTTGCCATGACAAGAAGACCTCTTTGGGTCAAACTGACTCCAACTCTGACAAATAGTGTATTCATATACAAGACAGCCAGTAGACTGGATTTGGGGGCTTGGACATGCTAACACCTTTTTACTTTCCTTCTGCTATGGATGAGTTTGGCTTTCCTAAGCCCTGACTGATGTGCCAAGTTGAACCTAAAAGCATTTCCCATGATTTATTTGAGGTAGAAAGTATAATTGGCCAAAGAGATGGGAGACTTCATGGTTAAAGGCTGTGGTTTGTAAATTTGGATTGAGAGGATGCCTGCGTTCTGGCAAGGATATTTCCACATTTTGGTCTTTGAGGTCAATAAATCATACATAGCAGGCAGTAGCTGTCTTGTGGGTTTTTACGATGCTGGTTTTATAAGTGCAGGGACTTCATGAGGCCACTAAAGAGAAGACAGTTCATTCTAAGGGATGGATAGGCATTCATTAAGGAAGAGTGGGGGAAAAAGAATTCCAGGCCAAGGATTCTAAGATAGGAATGAGCACGAAATAAGCATCTGGAGAAGGATGAGGAGAAAGGGGATTCTTGGGAGGAAGGAGCCTAGAGAGTGAGACAGGGTTAGATCATGCTATGCCTTTTAAGCCAAGTTCAAAGTGAACTTCCAGAGAAAAGTGTGAATGGATTTGTAGTAGGAGAATGCCGCTAGTTGTTTATATGAACTGCAGTCATCTCTGATCGCCTTGGTGATTAGATATTAGATTTATTATCTATCTATCTATCTATCTATCTATCTATCTATCTATCTATCTATCATCTATCTATCATCTATCTATCTATCTATCTATTTATCTATCTATTCTATCTATCTATCTATCTATCATCTATCAATCATCTATCTATCTATCTAATCTTCTATTTATCTTCTATCATTTATCAATCATCTCTCATCTATTTGTCTATCAATCCATTAATCTAGTACTATCTGTCATCTATCTTATAACTCTATGTGTCTGTGTATCTGTCTATCCATCCATCCATGTCTCTCTGACTTTCTATATATCAATCTATCCTTCTGTCTTTGCTAAAATGTAAAAAGCCATCACTATCTCCATACCCTCCAATCATTTCCTCAAGTTGTATTATCTCTCCCTCTTCACCATCCTTTGAAACTTTGTAGCACATGTGCCTTATAGAAGTAAACAATCTCTCATAACCTAAAAATCCTTATTAGACTAGATTACAATATATTTTTGTTGGGAGAGGGAGTCTTGAAATAGGAAAGCAGGAGTCTCATGATACTTCTTTACCATGTCTGAGAAGTTTGCCATTTAAACAGGCTCACAGACATCTTGGGCTAATTAGAGTGAATGTCAGTATGTGGTCTCTGATGATGAGCACTGAGTTTTCTTCCAGCTAGCTCCTCTAGGCTTACTGGAAGTTGTCTACATGTTGTTTCCTCATCTAGTGTCATATGGAATTGTGAGAAAAAGAAAGCATGGAATACACAATCACAACATGTGGCCCTAAACTCTACTGGGGTCATTACTTTTTATCAGTCATCTCTCACTTGCATGAGCTCTGGTGCATGCCCTATTTTTTAGTTCTTCATCTGTCAGTTGGTGGGAACAGCTAAGAAACAGTTCCCGTGCAGGTGTTAGAACCTGGGGCTTGGCTTCTGACTGTTCACCAAATGGTTTTCAGTGCTAGGACCTGGGTACTGTGCTTTAGAAAGGATCTGAGTACTCTGTGCTGTAGAAAGGAGGAAGTCATTTCTCTCTCCTAGAACCGAGCCACACACTTGCTCTGCTGATCACGCACACAAACATAGATCCTTAAGGTCACAAGGGTGCTCATGGCTGTTGACTGCTTAGCTGATTTGACACAATGAAACAACCTTAAAGAGTACTGAAGTATTTTATCTAAATTTATTTAATAAACATTGTTTTCACCATCTTTTTGGCAACTTCTTCAGGAACTACCCAAATGGGTGAGTGCATAGCTATGAATTTCCCTACCTTAAGTGGCAGACTTGGACCTTTGTGCAAATCAGGTCAAGAAAGTCACTTTTTATGTAGTACCTGGGGTTTTGTTTTCTCAGTGTGCATTCCAGGTTTCTTGTAGTTTGGTAGGAGAAAAGCCAGCACCTGCCCGAGGTCAGTGGGCAAAGGTGGCCACTGAACTGTGGCCCTTGCAGCCTCAGTGCCTGGGCTGGGCTAGCTGGAGGATACAGGCCTCTTCAGAGGATCTGCTTTGCCTTCCAGCTCTCTTCTACCTTGTTCCTCCTCATGTGGAAGAGCCTCATACGGGAAACCCAGAGAAAGGTAAGAGCATTTAGGAAATACTTGGAAAAAGGGGAGGTATCAGAATTAATTTTAATAAGTTAAATTGAAAGCTTTTTTTTTTTACTTACACTGCCTAGGGATCTCATTATTTTATATATTTTTTCATATTCATGAAGTGTAGAGTTAGTCATAGCAGATAGTTCTAGAAAAAACATTAAAAAATAAATCCTTCCAGAATGATTTCCAGTACCTGGATGCCAATGCTTTGAAGCATAAACACATTTTTTCTCCTCACTTTCTACATAATGGCTGTGTAACCCGTCGTACTAATTTTATTATATCTTCTAAGAAATTAAGTAAAATTTGTTTTCCTCTGCATGGAGTAGTCACTGTGGCAACTTGCTACAGCAAGAGACACTTGGTCCTCTGAGAGTTTCGCTGTAAATATGCTGAGGAGTTTTTGGTTTGGCTAAAGCACTCTGTTTTCTTCTAGCAGCAGTAAGCATTTTCTGAAACCCTCTGGAAATGCCATAACACTTGGGGGCTCAGACTTGGTATAGGGAAACAAGAGCTTATGTGATGGTTTGCATGTGTCTCTCAAAACTCACATCTTGATGTTCTTAAAATTGTGATATTAAGACAGTGGGAAATCTGATGGAAATTCCTATGTTGATGGTATTTGCAGGTGGGGCCTTTGGAAGGGTGTTGTGATTAGATGAGTTCTTGAGAATGGCAACCCCACGATAGCATTGGTGGGTTGATAAGAGGAAGAGAGCCCTAAGCCAGCACATTTGCTCTTCTGCTCTGTGATATCTCTGCTAGATTATCATGTGGTCAGAAGGCTCTCGCCAGAGGCTGCACCATGCCCCTGGACTCCCCAGCCTCAAGAACTGCGAGCTAAAAAAACTTCCATTTTTTTCAAAATAAATTGCCCATTCTCATGTGTTTTATTATTATTTTTATTTTATTTATTATTTTTATTTTACGAGTATGCATGTATTGCCTGCTTGTATGTAAGTGCACCCATGTTGTGTAATGCCCACAGAGTATAGAAGAGGGCATTGGATCCCCTGGAACTGGAGTTACCGACAGTTGTTAGCTGCCATGTGGGTGCTGGGATTCTTCTGCAAGAATAACCAGTGTTCTTAACTGCTGAGCCATCTCTCCAGCCACATTATTATTATTATTATTAATATTATTTTTGAGATAGGATCTCCCTGTAGCCCACTATGTAGACCAGGCTGGCCTCTGCCTCCTGAGTACTGGGATTAAAGGCCTGTGCCACCCGCCCAGATCACTCTCAGGTGTTTTAATAGCAACAGAGGACTAAGCTTAGCTGTGCCTTCTCCTTGCAGTGCACAGCTGTTCCCCCAAAAGGGGGTTTGCTGTGAACTTCTCTCCATTCCTCTCCACTTTAGGAAAAGTGTAGGATAGTCCTTTTTTTAAAATTTTAATTTTTTAGTGTATGTTTGTGTGCAGGTGTATGGTATTCATTTAGTCATTCAAGTGTGTGCACATGTATGTGGAGCCCAGAGACTGACGTCAGGTGTCTTCCTCAATTGCTTTTTACCTTATTTTTTGAGAAAGGATCTTGCATTGAACCCAGAGCTCACTGGTTTGGCTAGACTGACTGGTCTATGAATTTTAGGGGTTCCCCAGTCTTCACCTTCTCCAGTGCTGTCATTACAGGTGTGTGCCATCATGCCCAAATGTTTGTGTGGGTGTTGGAGATCTGAACTCAGATCTTCATGCTTACAGGGCAGGCACTTAGAAACTTACAAACCAAGCCACCTCCCTCACTCAGCTCTTAGTGCTTTTTTTTGTTGTTGTTGCTTTAAAGTGGAACATTCATTTAGTCATTTCTACTAGACTTCTTCCACTTGTCTGCTGTGAATCAGACATTGATATCATTGAATGTCAGGGGTATTGCTGAGAAATGGGGTTCTACAAACACAAATTTGGGATAGGTACCTGTTTAGCATTAGATGTGTGTGTGTGTGTGTGTGTGTGTGAGAGAGAGAGAGAGAGAGAGAGAGAGAGAGAGAGAGAGAGAGGTGGGGGGTACACATTGAAAGTTCTGAGAAGAGGTGACATTTGAGCTGATTCCCTCCCTCCCTCTCCCCTTCCCTCCCTCTTTCCCTCTTTCCCTCTCTCCCTTCCTTCCTTCTTCCTTTTTTTAAAAAATTATTTTTTTAATTTTATGTGTATGAGTGTATTGCCTGCATGTAAGTGAATGCACCCATGTCGTGCAATGCTGTGGAGGTCAGAAGAGGGCTTTGGATTCCTTTCCAATTGGGGTTAAAGATGGTTCATAGCCACTGTGTGGGTGCTGGGAATCGAACCTGGATCCTCTGCAAGAGCAGTCATTGCTCTTAACTGCTGAGCTATCTCTCCAGTCCCCCCCTTTAAAAAATATTTTATTTTATGTGTATGAGTGTATTGCCTGCATGTAGGTAAGTGCACCCATGTCGTGCAATGCCCGCGGAGGACAGAAGATGCCATTGTATCCCCTGGAACTGGAGTTAACAGACAGTTGTTAGCTGTCATGTGGGTGCTTGGATTGGAACCTGGGTCTTCTGCAAGAACAACCAGTGTTCTTAACCTCTGAGCCATCTCTTCAGGCCCCCTTCCTTTTTTATGTGTGTTTTGATGGATGTATGTAAGTACACCTTTGTGGTGCAGTGTCCATAGAGACCAGAAGAGGGCATCAGATCCCCTGCAACTGGAGTAACCATTGTTAGCTGCCATGTGGGTGTGGAAACTGAACCCAGGTCCTCTTTCAAAATCAGCCAATGCTCTTAACTGCTGAGCCATCTCCCCAGCCCCTCAGCTGATATTTCTTAAAGAGAGAACTTTAATTAACTGGAAAAGAAGATGCCAGATGCCGATTAGAGGGAATCAGTTAAACAAAGTTTGGAAAGGAACATGCCCTGTGTGACTGGGAAAAGTAAACAGTCTGGTGGGACTGAGGCAGGGGTGTGTGAGGTAGAATGAGGGATGCTGAGGCCAGACAAGCTAGGAGTGTTCCTGCTTGACATCCAGTGAGTTTGGGTTCTTCCCTGATGTTGCTAGGGTGCTACTGGAGGTTTACATAGGATGCAGCTGCATCATGACTTGTGGTTTAGAAAATTTCTGCAGCCACCTGCTGAGAGGGAATAGATAGTGAGAACTGGAGCCATAACAATGCCACTGGTTTCTCTACTGGTGTCATTTAGGAGGCATTGGAGAGAGGTCTCTGTTTCTTGATGACTGAAATCTCACACACACACACACATTTTTTTCCCTAGCATGAGAAATGGAGGATTCTTGGAAAAGGTTGAGTGGAATCTTTTGCCATAGATCTGTTTCTTCTTCCTGGTCTAATTTCTTGCGGGTAATTATCTGTCCCTATTTGAATGTTGTCTGGGTAGGAAAGTAATTGGTAGTGGTATCTCTGGAGGTTCCTTCTGCCAGATTCTTGTCCCTGCCCCAGTAGTATGGACGTAGCCAGTCACATGCTCTGTCAACTGAGTGACTTCTCATTCTTTTAGAAGGGCCTTGGCTCCTGCCAACTTCAGGTGGATCACTACACCCTCTTCTTTGATTCCAGATATGTCACAGAGTCTTTTGGGAAAAAATAATTCATGGTGGTTTTTTTTTTTTTTTTTTTAAATTTATCACAACCATTTGCTGTTGATTATGTCCAAAGAACCCTAAAAGGTATAAGAGATATCTAAGGCCTACATCTCACCAGTTTAAAGACTCAGTTCATAATCTTTCCCACTGGGTTGAAAGAGGAGCAGAAATAGAACTCAAAGTCATTTTTTGCAGAAATAGGGCCAGGAATGTCTGGAACATAGTGAGGCAATGAGGTTCCCGAGGACCGACCCTGTTGCTCCTTAGTGTGCTGCCGTGTGGCTGTTCCATGTCTACCTGGAGCCATCAAATTAGCATCAGATCAGTGGGGGAAAGTCTTGTTCTTAGAACTCCAGTTCTTATTTAGATGGCACTTAGGACCTTTGTAGTATTTAGTGATAAAAAATTGTAAATACTGCTGTAGCACCTGTAGGGCAGCAGCATAGATAGAATATACATATTAACCTATTTAGTCCTTACAACCATACTTGATTATGGGTTCTATTTGTTTCTTATATTCAATTGCTGTTATGGCTCTCATCTATCAAAAGCTATCTGTGTATCTGTGTGTATATCAATCTGTCTACTTATCATCTATGTATTTACTTACCTGTGTAAGTATCTTTGAAGGCTAACAGTGTCAGTTTGACTGGATGTAGAATTATCTATGAGACGAGGTTCTGGGCCTGAGGATGAGGGATTATCTAGATTAGGTTAGCAACTGGGTATGACTGTGAGGGATTATGTAGATTATCTTAATTGTGATGGGAAGACCCATCTTAATTGTGAGTGGCACCATTCCAAGGAACTGTATGAAAAGGAGAAAGGCATGGTAGTATACACTGTTAGTCCCAGCACTCAGGAGCCAGAGTCAGGAGGACCTCTGTGAATTCAAGGCCAGTTTGGTCTATATAGCCAGTTCCAGGCCAGCCAGGACAACAAAGCGAGATCCTGTCTCTAATTAATGATGAACCATGATGATCCTGCCTACCTTTCTGAGTTGATTTTGGGGATTCAAAGAGATCATTAATTAACTCATACATTCGTTATTTCTTGCTGGGCATTAAAGATGCAAAGATCCAGGAAAAATAAGACCTCTTGCCTTTGCAGAACTTCCAATGCAGGGTGGGGACAGTGAGTCAATTACTCTGTTGCATTTGAACAGATTAAATACTCTGACCTGCAGAGGCCGGGCTGTGGGTAGGGGCGGAAGCAGGCCTAGTTTTAGGATAGGGAGGAGCCTGGGATCAGGAAGAACAGAGTGGGACTGAGTCTTGAAAGGCATTCTGGGCAGACAGAGCAAGTACGGAGGAGATCTAGAGCAACAAGAAACCCTGGCACTTTGGGAGAATTTCAAGTAATTCTTTAGCCCTAGAGTTTGAGTTTTGTGGCGGTGAGGATGATGAATGAGGATTGATGACCGCAATAGCTAACATTGCATTGATCGGTACTATGTTGTAAGCACAGAGAGCTTTGTGTTTATCACCTTTCCATCTTTGTGGCTATTTGATGTGGGCTGTGGTGTTCAGTGTTTTACAGATTAGGAAACCGAGGCTGAGACAGCTTAAATAACTTCCAACATCACTGTCCTAGTTAGCTTTCAACTGCTGTGAGGAAAGCACTGACCAAAACCAACTCTTATTTCACCTTCAGCTTACAGTTCATCATGGTGGGAAGCCAAGGCAGGAGCTCAGAGCAGGAACCAAAGTATAGACCAGAGGGACTCTGCTTACTGGTTTGCTCTCCTGGGCTGTATTCAGCTTACTTTCTTATACAACACGGGATCACCTGCCCAGGGGTGGCACCACCCACAGTGGGCTGGGCCTTCCCACATCACTCAACAATTAAGACAGTGCCCCACAGACATGGCCACAGGCCAATCCAATGGAGAAAATTCCTCAATTGAGGTTCCCTCTACCCAGGTGTGTCAAATTGACAACTGACACTACCCAGCACAACCACTTAACCCATTGAGTGGAAAAGTTGTATTTCCACTTATGCATTTTGGATCTGGAGTTTATCCTGAAGGCTAAAGAGCCTGATGTAACAAAATTTAAACTGGGTTTTAATTTAGGGGTAAGGAATGCAGATGAGTCAAAGGCAAGAGGGACAGTGGGAGTCTACTGTGGCCAGCAAGGGAAAAGAAACTGAGTATTTGAGGGAAGGCAGAGGCAGGAGGGACAGAGAAAGGACGATCTGTGAGAGACTCTAGGGATGTGGCTGTTCTCATCCTCTGGCACTGGCACTGGTGTTAATGGGAAGACAGACATTTGGGATGATATCTGGTTGTCTAGCCTGAGACATAGATGCAGTAAGAGTCGAGGAGGAATGGAAGATGTGGATGTGTTTAGGACCCCAGTGAGATATTCAGATGGACGTGTCCAACAGGTAGTTGTAGAATTCCGGAATGTGGAAGAGAGACCTGGTCAGGGGATACATGTCTTGACTCTGTCCTTAGATGGAGTTAGATAAAATTGGCAGGGGACAAGGATGGGTTGTTGTGGGTGAGAAGGCTGTAGAGATGACAGTGTGGAGGCCTGGGCATTGCCTTTAGGCTGTGGTTATCTTTGGTTTAGTTCACAATATTAGAACATGAATGACAATAGCTGCCAATGTTTTAAAAAATTGTGAAAATTCCTGTAAAAATAAGATTCATGGGTATTCTTGACTGGGTGATGTGGCCAGCTGAGACCCACGGGTCAGGGACAGAGGCGAGTTGGGCTGGTGCTTTCCAGCTTGTTACAATGACTGGGTGTCCTCTGAGTCCCACTTTGGGTGTCTGCTTGATTCCTGAAGATATTTAATTTGTGGCCTCAGAGTTAAGGCTTGCGTGGAAGAAGTAGAAATTCCTAGGAAATTAAAAATGTAGTCAGAAAAGTGGGAGGAGCAAAAGAGTGGTGTGCGTGCTACAGGGGCTGTGGAGGTCTGTAGTGACAAATATCACCATTGTGGAAGCCACATGTGACTTGGAAGTGCCTTTTGGGTTTGGCTATCTGGAGGTGCCCTTAGCAAAACCCCATGTGGGGTGATAGAAGAGGGAAGGATGCATCTAGGAAATTATTTCAGAGAGCTGGGCTGTGAGACTGGGGATGTGACTCAGTTGGTAAAGTGCTCCCCAGAGACCACGTTTAAAAGCTGGATGTGGTGGTGCAGATTTATAATCCTAGCAGCCAGGAGGTGAAGACAGACAGATTCTGGCCTAGTTGAATTGGTGAGTTCCAGGTTCAATGAGAGACCCTGTCTCAAAAAATAGGATAGATAATAACTGAAGAAGACACTGAAGGCTGATCTCTGGTGCGCGCACACACGCACAGAGCTGTGTTATAGCAAGGCATTCAGGGAGACTATATTTTGTGTGGGTTTTTAAAAAAATATCTGAAGTACTTGAGAATATCTTTATCAGGAGGTATGTGATTGACATAACACAGTACTTTTTTTTTGGCTTAGATTTTTAAGAGTGGTGGCACTGAGGGTTGAACCCAGGGCCTTCTTCATGCTAGGCCAGCAGTCCCATCACTGAGCTACATCCCTAGACTTACATCTTAACAGAACTGTAAGGAATCCACTCTTAGCTTCGCTTGGTGGATTATCCCAAAAGAAATGTTTGTTCCTATTAAAACAAAACCCTTCAGGTGATAAAACAGGACAAGATGGTTTTTGTTTCTGAGAAACCAGCTCTGCCTGTGTCAGGTTTTCCCATGGGTTTTGCTAGTTTACTGTGGTAAGCAGCCTTAAGCTGCATAGTTTTATATTTTATCAACTTCAGGTTATATGGAACACTTACTCATGAGTTGGTACACTGTCCATTTTATTTTAGCATTTGCCAGGTAGACTCTGTGTGACAGTTTCAACGAGCTCCACTCTGACTACAAACAGTGTATTATATTGGTTTTATGCCACATTCCTGATATTTCATTTACTTGTTGGTATTTGTTTTATGATATACTTTATTCAATAATGTGTGTGTATGTATTTGTGTATATGTGTGATATAGCTGACTTGTATTTGATAAAGGCTCTTTATGAAGGAAAAAATGTATTGACCATTTGCAGTGGTTGATAAATAAGCTACTTTTTTTTTGAAATTGTGACTGTAATTTCAAAAGCACATTGGTTGTAATTTTTTTCTTTTTTCTCAGTTAATGTAATGGGCATGAGAATTTTAAGATTCGACATAGAATGGCAGTGGCTAGTCGTCAAGCTGTATGGAAAATGCCAGTGAACTAGAAAGTTCCTTAATTGATTCAGCAAAAATTTTTTAAGAACTTACTGTGTGTCAGGTGAAGTTCTAGGTACTTGGAACACAGTGGTGTGTAAGGCAGAGAGAAATCTCTGCACTCTTTGAGAGAATACTAAGAAACAAGATAAATAGAAAATACAATGTTTCTAAGTATATATATATGCTTAAAAATTTGTTTTAAGTGCCCGTGTGTGTGTGTGTGTGTGTGTGTGTGTGTGTGTGTGCCACAGCTTGTGTGTAGAGATTAGTGCACAGTTTGAAAAAGTTGGTTCTTTTATTCTACCATGTAGTTTCCAGGGATCGAACTCAGGTCTTCAGGCTTGGCAGCAGGTGTGTTTACCTGCTGAGCCATCTTGCCAGCCCATATTTCTAAGTATATTTTAGGGAGTGACAAATGCTAAGGATTAAAAATAAAGCAAGTAGTGACATTTTAGATAGGAAAGCCAAGGAAGATCTCATAAGGGCACACCATTGAAGTACAGATTTGAAAGGAGTGAGGAAGTAAGCCTAACTATCACCTGAAGCTAGAGCATTCTGGAAAGAGGTCAGTCAGTGGAAAGGTGCTGAGACCAGCATGCATCTCACTAGTATGAAAAAGGATGATCCAGGAGAGCCTGGTGGGTAAGAGCAAGCTGAGTTGAGATCTAACAAAAAGTTAGAGAGCTTTGACTCTAAGATGGAAGCCACTGGAGGACCAGAGTCTAGGGATTTACGACTCATTTATTTATTTATTTATTTATTTATTTATTTATTTATTTATTTATTTATTTATTTATTTATTTGCCAGAGACCCCGTGGGAGTCAGGAAAAGGCTCTGGAATTCTTTTCAGAACAGTTTTCAGATGCAAAAATAAAAACCCCAAGATGGAAAGGAATCACACTGTATTGAAGTACAATTTATCAAAATAGCAGAACCAATTTAGGATTTAGCAATGTATATGCTTCTTCATTAAAGAAGGCTTATGAGGAGGTCTGTAACTACTGTGAATTCAACGTAATAATGTGCCTAAGTGGCATTGGCAGCAACGGTGTGGGACTGGGAATTATCTGGAACTTCTTCTACTGGTACTGATACTTCCTTGGGCCGGTTTTAATGAAAGGACTTGCTTGGTTTCAGTAAGAATTAGTGAAAACCAAGATTCCCCCCTCTAAGTCTCCTCTGCAGTCCCTGCTCTGACTGTTGGCGGGAGAAGAGGCTGTGAAAAGAGGGACAGATGACTGAAACTAGCTCAGATTTCTATTCCTGCTTGTGTTTCTGCTGGCTCTCCAAAAATTCCGTTGGCCATTTCAGATCCCAGGAATTCCTGTGGAATGGGGTGCCCCAGGGTACCTTCTTATATTTTAGATATTCTAGAAATACACCGATGTTTAGTGGTTTCGCTGTTTCTCACTGGTTGGTTCCTCATGGCTAGAAATTTCTGGAAGCTTGAGGTGTGGTCACTTTCTTTTAGGGGAGTCTCTATATGGCTGCAGGTAACCCAGGCCTTTTTCCCTGGGACACCCCTCATTCTGGCTCAGTGAGGCATAGACCATGCATGTGGGATTCTTTAGATACTCTAAGTGGAAAGAATGTGTCACTGTCTTGAGTGCATAGAACTCCATCTTGGCCCAAAGTCCAGACTTACCTGCTCTTCATAACCACAACAGGTTTTCCTGTTCCTTGACTTTGCATATATACCTTCCTCCCTTTGGAGCTGGCCTTGCCATCCTGTCTTGTATCCTTTGCATGTCCATACCTGCCATCCCCCCAAGGCTCTGCCCCAATGTTTTTGTCCACATAGGATCTGTGATAAGGATTACAGGGACTATCCCTCTCCAATAGGGTTGCTTTTCTCTGTTGTAGGGACTAACCCTCCTGAATTTCCCAGGCACCTACCTTTTATTGCAATTCCTTATTTATCTGTTTTCTCTGTAATAAACTCCTATAAGCTCTGAGGGCAAGCTCCATATTGTCTTTTTGCTCTCTGTCTTCCCAGGGTAGCCCTTGCCGTAAAGCAGTTTCCAGTGGACCAAAGAAGCTTAAGATTCTACTCATAACGCAGGGCACCTCAGCTGAGGATTCTGCTATGGGCAGCTGTGTAAGTTTACCTTGTGTTTGTCTCTGTCCCTCTTCCTTCCCGTTCAAGTACTGACCAAGGCTGCCTGTGGGCTTTTATTTTTCTAAATAGACTTAACTATTTCCCAAGTATTTTATAGGACTTAATCCTTTTCAAGAAATTCACACAAGAAATTCAATATTTTCAAGAAATTTTCTTGAAACGCAGAGTCAAAGCAAAAATCACCCTAAATTCTATTGTCCAGAGAGAATGAATATAGCATTTTGGTATATGTTCTTATAGATTTTTTCACTCTGTAATAAACTAAGATATATTTTACAAAGCGAGACCATGCTATATAGTGTGTCATATTTTTTTCTGTCTTTTGACTTAGCCTGCTGTGAGTGGTTTTCGTGATCTACAAGCAGGAGAACATTAGTGGTTAGGAGAATGACTGTAGAGCACTGCTCAGATCATGGAGTCATCACTGAACAGCTGTTGATTTGGGGCTGGGAATATAGCTCAGTTGGTAGAGTGCTTGCCTGCATGCACAGGCCGTGGGTTCAATCCCCAGTAACCAATAAATCGGATGTAGTGGTGCATGCCTGTAAACCTCGGCACTCTGGAGGTAGAGGCCAGAGGATCAGAAGTTCAAAGCTACATAGTCAGTTTGAGGCCAGCCTGAACTACATGAACCCCTTCCCCACCTTTTTAGAAAATAATTGTTGACTGTGGAGAGTTAGTAACTTCTCTGTTCACCAATTTCCTCATCTGTAAAATGAATGCAAAAACAAAAAAAAACCCCATCTGCCCCCCACCCCACCACTTATAGGCCATGTGTCTTGGTACATGCTTATAATGCCAGTGGTTTTCTTTTTTTTTTTTTTTTTTTTTTTTTTTTTTTTGAACTGGAACTCACTATGTAGACCAGGCTGGCCTTGAACTCACAGAGATCTGCCTGTGCTCTGCCTCCTGAGTGCTGGGATTAAAGGCGTGCGCCAACACACCCGGCCTAATGCCAGTGTTTTAAAAAAATTTTTTCAAAAAATTTATTATATGCATATAAATGTTTTGCTTACATGTAAGGGCACCACAAGTACCTGTGGAGGGCATTCGGTCCCCTGGAACTGGAGTTACTGAAGATTGTGAACTGACGTGTCTGATATGTTGTCCTGGGAACTGAAACTGTCCTCTACAAGCAGCCAGGGCTCTTAACCGCTGAGCCATCTCTCTAGCACCAATGCCAGTGTTCAAGAGGCAGACACAGGAAAATCACAAGTTCTAGATCAGAATGGTCTACGTAGTGGGATGGAGACCAGCCAGGGCTCTGTAGTGACACCCTGTCTCAGAACACCAGGGAACCAAACCCAGAGCAGGAACACGATGGAGATTAAGTGGGCCCAGATATGGAAGTCCTTAGGACACGCTCAGTACCCAGGGCGGTATTGTATATGCAGTCCACTGCATGGCTGCCTCCAAGCTACTTAGCCATTTCTCTATTGATAGACACTTAGGTCTCCATTGGCTTTGTATTCTTATGAATAATTAATGAAGCAACCAACATCTTCATACAAACATCTTTGAACACTTTCCAGATTTATTTTGCCATGATACTTTTGGAAATGTGAAAGGTGGGATTTCTTGCTAAGATGCTCTTGGGGGAAGCTTTCCCAGAACCAGTTTATTCTGCTGTTACCTTTGCTTTATGTTTTTCCCTGCACTCTCCAAAGCTGTTGGCTTTCCCTTTTTATCAGTGTGTCAGTGCAGGGTTTGCTGTATTTGGCATTCATATCAGGGAGATAAGAATGAGATAGAGCTGCAAGGTCTCAGGCCCCCAAGAGGGATGATTTGCTTTCCTGCTTCCTGCCTGCAGCCAGAACCTTTATCTTAGCCACACTGGGTAGGGGTTGACGATGAGATGAACAGAGCTAGGAGAATTCCTTCGTGGGGCCAGTAGGAGGAATAGCAGTCACATGGGCCACTCTGAGTGACCAGAAAGCCCTGTCATCAAGGGTGACTGACTAGGGTCAGTGGCTGCTGTGTGATGCTCTCCTCTGTGTGGGGACATACCTCTCTGGATAGCTTCTGGCCTGGCTGTCACTACTTTTCTTTACAGATGGTCTTGGGGAGGTGACTCAGCTGTGTGCCTGATGCTCCCTTATCCCCCAGGGGAGGTTGTCTAGAAACACAGAACCCAGGAGAGGAAGGTGGTGTTTAGTTACCCATGCTTCAAGCTGTAGGGACTACTGAAGATGCTTTTACAGTTACTCATTCCAGAGAATCAAGAGAGAAACAATTTACACTAACCTTTCAAGTATAGTTTAGCGATTTCACTTGAGAAAGCACTGTATTTCTCATTGAAAACTAGAACTTCTATAAATTTATTTTTAATCCTTGTATATATTATAACATGAGAAGCTTTAATTTTCCTTCTGGGGCAGATCAAAATTTAAAAAATCATGTAAAGTCAAGGATTTCTCATATTAAGGTACTTCTTGAAATTTGATAACTTCGAGAAAGTATATAGTTCAGGGATAGTCATGGTAATCCACCATCTGCATTGAATGGAAGGTGTATTCTTCTGATTGCTTTGGATTATAGGATTATAGTTATCACTGCAACTCTTCTAGCACAATACATCCAATTGTGGCAGCCTGATTGTGATAGTTTAATATTATTTGAGTAAAACGCCGGATGGGAAATTCTCATTAGTTGAGCAACACACAGACAGGATGGAATTTTATCTTCCATTATTATTCCTGTAATTTCATTACCCTCAGGTTTTATTAAAAATTGGTTTGTGATTGATGAGTAGTGGCAAGACTACAAAACTGATATGTATTTGCATTTTTTTCCCTGAGCCACAGTTGAGTTTCTGCAAGATGAGTGCCTTGGCCAGGAGTGGGTATATTCAGCAGGAGCAGTATTATTGCAGAAAGCAGACTGTATATTTGAAGCTCTATGAATACCTGTGCATGGTGTGTCATCCTAGGAAATACAGGCTGACTCTCTTAGAGGAAAATACTTTGAGATTCAACAGATGGTTAAACTTATTGTGTATGTATGTGAATGTGTGTGGCATTTGTGTATGTATGTATGTTTGTGTATGCACATGTATACCTATTTGTGTGCCTGTGTGTGCACACATATGTGTGAGTATATGTGTGAAAGTAGGGGTCAACATCAGGCGTCTTTCTTAGTTGCTTTCCACCCCACTCTCTTTTAGATAAGGTCTCTCACTGAACTTGGAGCTCACTGATTTGGCTAGGCTGGCTGGCCTGTGAGTCCCAGGGATCTGCCTGCCTCTGCCTTCACTTCTATGCCTGGATTTCATGTGTTAGGTATTCAAACTCAGGCCCTCATGTTTGATTCGCAAGTACTTTACCTATGAAGCCATCTGCCAATCCTTAAAGTTGCTTTTATCGTTCCTTATTTTGAAAGTTTTGATTGACTGAAATCATGACATGAAATCATGACATGAAATGTCATGATTGAATTCTTAAAGAACAAGTGTTGGGGGACTTTTTCAGCATAACTGTTCCAAGCTCCACAGCAACAAACTCTGAGCACTCAATATCTTTTTCAGCCCAAAGTTCCAAATGCTTCCACAATCTTCCTAAAAACACCAAGGTCAGGCCTGTCACAGCAATACCCCACTCTCTGGTACCAATTTCTGTCCTAGATTGTTTCTCCATTGCTGTGACAAAATACTCTGACCAATACCAACCTGGAGAGGAAAGGGTTTGTTTGTCTTACATCTCCCAGGTTCATCGGGAAGCCCAAGGTAGAAACTCAGGGCAGGAACCTGGAGGCAGGAGCTGGAGCACAGGCCATGGAGGAATGCTGCTTACTGGCTTGCTCCCCTGGCCCCTGCTCAGCCTGCTTTATTATGCAACATAGACCCACCTGCCCAGGGTGGCACCACCCACAGTGGGCTGGGCCCTCCCACATCACTCATCAAGAAGATGCCCCTCAGACATGGCCACAGGCCAGTCCAATGGAGGCAATTCTCTAATTGAGGCTCTCTCAACCCAGGTGTGTCAAGTTGGCACTAAAGCTATCCAGCACAGGAACCATTCCAAGACTATGTACACAGGAAGGCTTTAGTAAAATCAGTCATTACATGTCCCATTCCCAATCAGGGTCTGATGTCATTTTACTTCATTTGTAGAGCACTGGTCTCAAGTAGAGATGATTTTGCTCCCCAAAGGGGACACTTGATAGTATTTAGGAACATTTAAAAAATGCCTTATTGTGTTTTATTTACTTATTGTGTGTGTGTGTGTGTGTGTGTGTGTGTGTGTGTGTGTGTACATGCATCTGCCATGGTGTGGGTGTGGAAGTCAGAAAACAACTTTCGAGAGTCAGTTTTCTCCTCCCATGGGTCCAGGGATTGAACTCAGGTCCTTGGGTTTGATGGCAGGTGCTTTTACTTGCTGTGTTACCTCACTGGCCCTAGAGATAGCTTTAAGTGTTATAACCCTGGCATCTAGTAGATGGAGGCTAGTGATACTGTCAAATAGCCTATAGTCCTTGGGGCAGCCCCCACAAGAAACAGTTGCCTGTCCCTGAAATGGTAGCAATGTTGAGGTTGGGACACCGTGCTGTGGAAGTTTTCAAGGTCAAGATGTCTCCAGGGAAGGTATTTGAGTCACAGTTGGCTCCTTCTATCCCCTTCCTCCTCCTGCTCCTCCTCCTCCTGCTCCTTCTCCTCTTCCTCCTCCTCCTCCCTGCCTCCTCCTTCTCTTCCTCCTCCTCCTTGGAGACAGGGTCTTACTATGTAGCCCTGGTTAACCTAGAGCTGTGTAGACCAGGCTGGCCTCTAATTTATAGACATCCACCTGCTTCTGCCTCTTAAGTGCTGGGATTAAAAGTGGGAACCACCATACCTGGCCCAAAAGGCTTCTAATAGCTTCCATTTCCCTGGTGCCCTGAAACTTCAGAAACTCATTCTCAGGTGTTAAAGAACTGACCAAACTCTGAGAGGCTGATTTATATTGAAACTCATGGAAAACTAAATAAACTCTTTCCACTTTATTGAGCACTACATCGATAGAACACAAGGGCAGAGCTTTTATGGGCACAGCTCATGTGTTAACGTTAGCAAGGTGCATGGGGACTTAACTCTCCAGTACCCCTTGGAGCCTGGAGAGGGAGAGAGAGAGAGAGAGAGAGAGAGAGAGAGAGAGAGAGAGGTCTTTTATTTATTCTACTAGTTTTATTGGGCTGCCATGGTCTTTAATAACCTCGAGCACCTGAGACGGGCGAGGGGGAGAGAGAGAGAGAGAGAGAGAGAGAGAGAGAGAGAGAGAGAGAGAGAGAGATTGGCTCAGACAAAATGTGTGAAGCATCACTATATGACAGGGATAATTAATATGAAGATTGGTGGTAGGGCATTGTACATAACTGCTGGCTTTCTCAGTCTAGTGGGTGGCACCGATGTGATAACATTACAGAAGAATGTGGCACAACACTGATGGGACATACAGAATCTGTGGGGGTACAGAGGACACAGGCCAGTCCTTTAATACAGACAAAATGTGTGAAGCATCACTATATGACAGGGATAATTAATATGAAGATTGGTGGTAGGGCATTGTACATAACTGCTGGCTTTCTCAGTCTAGTGGGTGGCACCGATGTGATAACATTACAGAAGAATGTGGCACAACACTGATGGGACATACAGAATCTGTGGGGGTACAGAGGACACAGGCCAGTCCTTTAATACCGTGAGAAGTATCTGCTTTGATCTCTCAGACACAATTTTGCAGTTTTTAGGGGTCACCCTATACCTACGGTGAGGGTCTAAGGAAGCCATCGCCACTTCTGTGGACTGTTTGCTCTCCGTTTGCTTTACCCTGGCTTCTGTTCCAAGATTGGATGTCAGGCATCTGGATGATGGAAGTGTCCAGTATGCTGCTTACTCTTCACCTTTCCCTCTCAATAATGGAGGTGGTCATTTTGTACAAGTTTTGAATGCTATAGTGAACTCACTAAGAAATACAGCCAGGCAGGGAGGAACAGCAGGGATAATGCAGCTACTGTGAAGAGGGGACTTGTGCAATCCTTGGGTAAGCTTGATTGCATTCTCCAGGGTTCTGCTGAATCACAGTCAGAAACCTGGTCAGTGCCAAATCACTACCACCCTTTAAACAGCTGAAATGTGGCCACTTTTGTAGCCACATACAGAAACAGGAATGTGAGGCAGGGTTGTTAAACAGGGAGGAGAAAGCATGCTGGATGCATACACTTCTTTCCCCGAAGTCTGTTGCTTTGGGTCATAGTCTCCCTACCTCCCCCAGTCCTTCTTCAGTTTTCTCCCAATGACAAAGAGGACCCTTGATTTTCACACTAATTATAATCAGACTCATCTAGCTTTAAAACTTGGCTCTGGGACTCCTTAGGTGTAGAATTGTGGGCAGACAGCATCTTTGAGTCTGAATGTCCCACATCTAAAATGAGAATAATTCTTTGCATATGCAGGGGTTGAGGGTTGAGATGTGTTTAAAGTTCTAAGAATGTTTGTGGTATGCTATGGGGGACTCAAAAAATACTAGCTACCATTTAAAACAATTAAATTATTTTAATTGATAAATTATTTTAATTTTATGTGTATGAGTGTTTTACTTGCATTTATAGAAATATACTACATGTGTGCAATACCCACAGAGGCCAGAAGAGGACATTGAATCCCCTGTAACTGGATTGATGGATGGTGGATGGTTGTTGGCCTTGTGGGTCTTGGGTACTGAACACGGACCCACTGTAAGAGCAGAAAGTGCTCTTAATGACAGAGCCACTTCTTCAGCCTTGCTGGCTATCATTTTGTGTTGAATTCATTTAGGATACAATTACTTTTAGAGTGCTGTGGATTGGTATAAATTCATAAGTGTTGACTGATGGTACATTTGTTTTGAAAATTCAAGGTCTTTTGTGTGTGTGTGTGTGTGTGAGTGTGTGTGTGTGTGCATGGGAGCCAAAGGACACCATCAAATACCATCTCGAGAAATGCAGTCCACTTCCTCTGAGATAGGGACTCTCTGGCTTGGAGCTTTCCAATTAGGTTAGACGGGCTAGTCATTGGGCCCTAGGGATCTTTCTGTCTCTGCCTGCTAGGATTACAAGGGTGTGACACTGTGCCTATCATTTTGACATGGGTTCTAGGGATTGAGTTCAGGTCCTTATGCTTTTGATGCAAGCACTTTACCAACTGAGCCATCATCACCCTAGTCCCCATTGTTTGATAGTGATTATCGTGCTAGAAAATCAGGTAAGGCACAGAAATTCTGAGTGTAGGTGGTGGGGAAGGTGTTCTCTGGGATGTTATTCATTCATGAGATATTGACTGAGGGCCTTTCAGGCAGGGATTTCTATAGAAAGGAAACCCTTGGCTAACCTCACTGTGTGTCCCTGGATCAGCCAGACTTCTCTGTGATGAGCCAGAGCAATGAACTCCTACCCAGTGCTTGGAGATTCTTGAAGTGCTGAATAGCTCAAGTACTTTTGCTATTTTCTTCCTTCAGTAATTAATATAGTGATATCAAAGTTGTTTGCAGTTAATTAATTATCTCCTAGCCAGATTAATATTACTTTCTTTTAAACTGTGCTGCCATTTGAAAGCTATTTGATAGGAAAGACAGAGGCCCAGAGGCATTTCAGTGTTTCTTGGGAGGAGAATATCTAAGGTTGACTCAATCAGGTGCTGCTGGGAGGTAGAGAAGGAGGAGAGAGAGGAAGGAGGGGGAAGAGAGGAGGTTTAGGAGCTTTTAGCTTCTGAATTCCCATTCTTTATGCATATAGAGAGATTTTTCTGTTTCCTCCACCCAAAGTTCCATCTGAGAAGTTCAGTTTGGGTGAAGCTGCATTTTGTTTCTGGGTTTTTCTCATGAGTGTCTTCTGTTAGAGAGGGAAGTGCCAGGATGCAGTGTCAGGATGTGCTGAAGGCTGGAGCTGTCCCTGTTGGGACCAACTGAGAAACTGCATTCCTCTCTGGTTCCCATCGGAAGTCTTGGACATCTTGGATGTTGTTCAAACATGTTAGTTTTTACTTGTTTACTTGGTTTAGGATCTGAGAGCTCTTGGGGTGTTGGAGTAGCCACTGTGTCTGGCATGAGATCTCAGTGCCTGGCAGGTCTTCGGTCACACTGAGTGTTTGTCTAATGACTGATATACCCAGAGCTACTTCTCATGCGTTCTGCTCAACATCAGGAGTTTCTATCCCCTCCCCCGTCCCTTTGGGATCTGACATTTATTGAAAAAATTGGTGGACAGATACTTAGATGGTAACTTAGATCTCAAAAACCTATGAGAATTCATCAACATGAGGCAAGGCTTACCTGGTTGGGAGTTATGAATCTTTTTGCTCTGTTTAATTTATTCAGAGAAATGACAATGTTATCTTTTTGTTTGTTTTGACACAAGCTTAACCCCCAGTTCATTCTGCATGCACATCCCACTCACATTCACCAGAGAACTCTGTTAGGACCTGAAGTCATTTCTGATCTGTGATGTATAACAATGGATAAACACAGTGAAATTGAATGTAGCTAGCCTTTGAAATCTATTGATTTCAATACAGCAGCTGAGATAATTCTCTTAGAGCAGTAAGCCCTGTAAGTTTGAGTCTGGAATGGATTAAAATGTGTTCGTTTAGAAGTGTACCAGTGTATACTCAAAGAACTGGCTAGGAGAATAACTCTTATAAGCAGCTGTGTGGGAAGAAAGTGAAACGCTAATTCTGGTGCCAGGCTTATCTTGGGTGTTTCATCGGCCTGTGACAGAGGTGATGATCCATGGTAGTCAAGTTCTGGGAGTTCTTACACTTAGCTATCAGTTCAGGTGCAGTGATGGTCCCAAAGGGGGAAAAGACCAACTTCTCCTTGAGAGTTCCATGGGGCTTGAAGGTTTGTATCTATAATCGGTAAAAATGTGTTGAGACCACCAAGCCAGTGATAGGTTGTCTAGGCAATGTTTCCTCCTTGGGTGACAACTTGGCTGATGGTTTCTTCTGCAGGTGAGCTTGACTTGACAGCAACTGCTTTGGCTCGTACAGCCAGAGGACGAAATTCTTCTCATCTTTGGGCCACTAAATGCCTATGTGCACGCCACATTCCAGCCAGGGAAGAAAGGTGGAGCTTCTTGAATGACAATGGACGTTCCACTGTGCAGGATGTGGGCAGAGTGTGTGACATCACCACCACGAGGGTAAGAGCTATCTTTCTGTGCCATTTTCTCCAACCATCATTGTTATCAGAGGAGGAAGAAAGTGAATCTTACAGGATAGTGACTGTCCTGGTTTGTTTCTTCATTGCTGTGTCAAAGCACTCTGACCACTACCAACTTGGGGTAGAAAGGGTTTATTCAGCTTACATCTCCCAGGTTGCAGTTCATCAGGGAGCCCAAGGTAGGAACTCAGGGCAGGAACCTGGAGGCAGGAGCTGGAACACAGGCCATGGAGGAACGCTGCTTACTGACTTGCTCCCCTGGCCCCTGCTCAGCCTGCTTTCTTATGCAACATAGGCCACCTGCCCAGGGTGGCACCACCCACAGTGGGCTGGGCCCTCCCACATCACTCATCAAGAAGATGCCCCTCAGACATGGCCACAGGCCAGTCCAATAGAGACAATTCCCCAATTGAGCCTCCCTCAATGCAGGTGTGTCAAGTTGACACTAAAGCTATCCAGCACAGTGACAAAGATCAAAGTTAGAACTGGGTAAACCTTTTCGATTGTAAAATCTACTGGGCAATTGGGATGGGCTGTTGGAAGAAAGAGTAGGTCTGGAAGGGTTAGATCAGAACTGTATTGAGTCACACCGCAGGCCAGCTTTAGAAAGTTCCCTGGTTGGGCTGAAGATACAGCTTGACAGAGTGCTTGCCTAGCATACATGAAGCCCTGAATTTGATCTCTAGCACAGCATAAAAACTGGACATGGTGGAATACCTATAAGCCCAGCACTTGAGAAGTGTAGGCAGGGAGATCAGAAGTTCAAGGTTATCCAAAAAAGCAAGTTCTGTGGTGTTTATTCCTTCTTCCTATCCTGCTTCGATTTTTGACATTTACAGTTCAGACTTGAAGAAGTAACACTACTGTTCTTGTGATAAGATTCCTTTTGTGCCTATGTGGGTCAGCCTGACCTCCCCGTGCTATGGAGCAAGATTGGTAAGAGTCTGGCTCAGTTTGCAATGTGCCTAGAATAATGTTTAAAACATGGTGGATCAGTTCAAATGAAACTTGAACTGATAAAATCTGAGTTTCTCCTGTCACACTGATAAGTCTATCTTTTGATCCCTATTATAGGGATCAAAGTGTCTCCTCTCCCTCTTATATGAGATGATAGTTCATTATTTGCTGGACTTAACTGTGTAGCCACTGGAGGCACTGAATTTTACCATGTCTCAGCTAGATCTTTCTGCTATCTCTTTGACAAAAATGACTATAGTTTTGTTAATTCTTTCAGATAAAAGTGTCTTTTACTAGACTGCTAGTAGTAGTTAGCAGACAGGGCTGGAGGAGTAGAGAAGACAATAGATGGTCCCTTCTATGGAGAAGCTTAGCACTTGGCATTTGTGCAGGTTAAGAATCAAGTACAGAAAACATTGTATTACCTTGTGATAAGTGCTGATATAAAGGGTTACACAAAAGGCTGCTGGAGAAGGGGAACAGAGCAGAAGGGGTCAGGAAGGAAGAACTGTACATTTGTTCAAATTCTCTCAAGTTTCCCTGAGTGCCGGAGCTTTACTGTTGTAGACGTCTATCTGTATGAGCATTCCTACTTGCACCGTGGCTCAGCTGGAGAAGTGATTGGGTATCTGTGAAGAAATAGAAGTCTCTTGCAGGGTAAAGTCAATATTTTCCTCATTGAAAAGCTATCATCTGGGATACTTTGCCTTTTTATAAATAGGACAGCTTTCTGGTTATTTGACTCACAAAATCCCTCAGCCTTCTGAGCAGCTTGAGATGAGCTGTGTAACGCACAGAGATCCCTGGGGATCCAAAGGAGCAGCTGCACTAGAGGGGCAGTGGGAATGAGCACAACTCTAAATGATCACACTAGTTAGAGAGACCATGAGTAGAAGTGAAGGGCCAAGGGGGAAGGGAGGACATTACATCAACCTCTTATGTTTAGAATAAAGTTTTATGGTTTCAAAAGACTTTGCTTTTATTTTTTTAACCACAAGGCAAGCTTGGCATTGCCTGTGACTTTTAAAGGATCTTCAAACTCAAGGTCCTATATGCTGAGAAGAGACAGTTTAAAGCCATGTTCTCTGAGGCTGTGCCTTTTCCTCTTCTGGTTGTCTGCAGTAGTTCAGCATGAATTAGGGGATTTATTACTTTTCCTGTTGACCACATCAAAACACTTGACAAAGGCAACCTAAAGAAGGAAATGTTTAGGGGGCTAGAGAGATAGCTCAGCAGTTAAGAGCACTGGCTGTTCTTGCAGAGGACCCAGGTTTGATTCCCATCACCCACATATTGGCTAACTACTGTCTAGAACTCCAGTTCCACGGGATCTGATGCCCTCTTCTGGCATTTGTGGGCATTGCATTACATGCATGTAGGCAATACACTCATATACATAAAAATAATAAAATTTTAAAAGGGAGAGGTTTATTTTGACTTATGAGTTTGAGGATACAGTCCATCATGATGGGGAAGGCATGGTGGTAGGGATGTGAGGCAGCTGGTCCCATTGTGCCTATAGTCAGAAGCAGAGAGAGATCCATCCTGGTGCTCAGGCAGCTTTCTACCTTTTTATGCATTCTGGGACTCCAACCAATGGTGCCAGCAGCATTTAGAATGGGTCTCCCACCTCAGAGAATCCAGTCTAGAAACCCTCCTGCAGATACACTTGGTGGCTTGTCTCCAGTGACTCTAGACCCTGTTAAGTTGGCAATCAGTATTAACCATCACAGGGTAACAAGGGGTTCATTTTGTTTAGTTCAACACTTAAAAGGTGGTTCTGAAATAGGGTGACCCGGGAACTTATGCCATTGGTGGGCTGTCAGCTGTCCCACGCTTAGAGAACATGTCAGATGCAGAAAAGACCTAGGAAGGAATTTTCCTGCATAACTGAAACTCATACCTTACATCAAGATTTCCTCTGTGGGAATGTTGAACACTCAGAAAACTCCTAGTGGGAGTAGTTCCATAGAGAAGCCTAGCGATGCTCAGGCAATGCCAATCCAGAGCCAAACCCAGAAGGTTCCAGGAGGTAACCTATGTTTCATGTTCTTTCTCTGAGCGTATCTTTCGAGAGGCTTCACAAACAGGCATTTATTTCTCAGAATGGCACCATTTAGCTGCTGTACAAATACTGATTCTCATATAAGGTTTTTCAGGGGCCCCTTGAACAGATGTACTCGATGCAGTTTTTCTTTTCAGCTGCCAGTGAATGTTCTTGGATTTGGACAGCTTTTCCTTCAGTCTTACAAACACTGAGGGGCACAAGGAGGTCAGATAGTCTTATGTAGTGTTATGAACATAGTGACATAGGTTGATGGTAGACATCAAAATCAATATGTGACCTTGGGTTCTGTTTTTGGAAGACCGTGAGAACCATGGTTAGTCTTCCTACTCTGTAACTCAAACCTTTGAACCCATGGATGTGCTTAATTTGAGACCCCATTGGCCTTCAGCAGGCTACTATCAACAGCCCTATGGAAGGGGTAATAGTCTTTATTGAGACAAAATATGCAAATGAACAGCAGCCAGTTTTGACTTCCACTTTAAAAAAAATGAGTACTCAATGTTTGAGGCATAGTGGAAGACCCAGAAAAGCCTGATGGGGTTGGCTCAACTCTGGGCCTCAAGTTTCCTCATTAGCAACAGGAAACTAATTCTCTACTGCTTAGTGCTGCCGGACAAAGGCATTTATTTATATCATTCATTTATTCTGTTACACTTCCCAGTTACCTGCTACTGTCTAGGTACTGTGTCGAATACTGGGCACAGTTGCCTCAAAAAGGTGTTTGGTGGGACTGGAAAGATGGCTCAGCATTTAGGAGCACTGGCTGCTCTTGCAGAGGACCTGGTTCAGCTTCCAGTACCCATATGACTCCAGTTCCTGGGGATCTGACTCTCTCTTCTGGCCTCCGTGGGCATTGCACACATGTGTGCAGTTAACATACATGCAAGCAAAATGAACACAAATATTTAAAAAGAGGTTGGGGCTGGAGAGATGGCTCAGCAGTTAAGAACACTGACTGTTCTTGTAGAAGACCTGGGTTCGAATCCCAGCACCCACATGGCAGCTAACAACTGTCCGTCCGTAACTTCAGTTCCAGGGGATCTGACAGCCTCTTCTGTCCTCCCTGGGCATTGCATGACACGGGTGCACTTACCTACATGCAGGCAATACACACATACACATAAAATAAAAATAATAAAATATTTTAAAAAATTTAAAAAGAGGTGTTTAGTAAATTTTTCTTAAAGGGTCTTGCTTATATGGCACAGGCTGGCAACTCTCCTGCCTCGGGCTCCCAAGTACTGGGATGACAGGTATGAACCACCATGCCTGGTTTCTTAAAACATTCTTTTTTAAAAAAATATTTTGTTTATTATTTTTATTTTATGTGTATGCATGTATTGCCTGCATGTAGGTAAGTGCATTTGTGTCACGCAATGCCTAGGGAGGACAGAAGAAGCTGTTAGATCCCCTGGAACTGGAGTTACAGACAGTTGTTAGCTGCCATGTGGGTGCTGGGATTCAAACCCAGGTCTTCTGAAAGAACAGTCAGTCAGTGCTGAGCCATCTCTCCAGCCCCTCTTAAAACATTCTTAATGGAAAATTTTAACATGTACAAAAATAGAATGATACATTAAATTCCTGTGTGGCCATTTCCCAGCTGCAGTAATGATTAACATGTGGACAATTTGTATGGTCAATATTATTGTCTTTTCCATCTGTTATTAGAAATGAATCCTAAATCCGTATAACTTTGTCTATAAATATTTTAGTCTATATTTCCAAAGAATGGGACTCCTTTTAAAGAATATAATTAGCCGGGCATGGCGGTGCATGCCTTTAATCCCAGCACTTGGGAGGCAGAGGCAGGCGGATCTCTGTGAGTTTAAGGCCGGCCTGATCTACATAGTGAGTTCTAGGACAACTGGGGCTATAGGGAGACCCTGTCTCAAAAAGACCAAAACAAACAAACAAACAGACAAACAAACACACACACACACATATTTATGGGGTAA